CGAGGTAGATGTCTCCCATTGTTTCCCTGAGTCGATAAAGTCTGGGACGGTCGGGAAATAACAAAATCCCCGATGGTCTAGGATTTTGCCGACAAATGAAAACCAGTGAATGGAGAAGACATTTGAAGAAATTGAATACAATGAAATATTAATGGCAATAAATTCAAATAATAAAACAAAGACAATGTTATTTTTTGATATGACTGAAGTACTGATAGCATTATTCTTTTAAACTGTTCCAGTTCTACTCAATTTGTGTCATTGCCTAGAATTGAAAAAAACTTGACCAATCAAATTATTGTAATGTGCCAAGTTATATCAAGAGTAACGATGTGTTGTGTGCAAAGCTATGTCGACTTTGAAAATGAAAACAAAAATGGTCAGAATGTTTATGTTGTTTTATCTCTCTGTTCAGAGCACCTGCGAGAGAAACAGTCCATGCAAAGAAAATGAAGTATGTGCTCCAATTCTGCCTCAATTCTGTGTCATTGCCGAGTTAAAAAAATTAATGACCAATCAAATTATTGTATTGTGCCAAGTCATCTTAAGAATAACGATCTGTTGTGTGCAAAAACTATGTCGAGTTTGAAAATGAAAAATAAAATGTGTTTCTGGATTGTTTATTTGTTTATATGTTGTTTTATTTTTATTTTCAGAGCACCTGCCGAAAGAAACAATCCATGTAAAGAGAATGAAGTATGTGTTCCTGACTACAAACTAAACACTCATTTCTGCAATTGTGTTAAAGGTAGGTGAACTTATTTAATTTAAATAAGTATAGGCAAACATAGAGCGGTTTTAAATTGAGTGTCGTAAAACCAAAACCAAAGCAATTACAATGGTCAATCACAACAAACGTAAACGACACAATGAACCAATGAAAATTCGACTGAAGCAAATGCACGTAACAAGCGCTAAACGCGGGAAAACGCGTGCGACCAAGTCGCGATTGGTTTGGTTTTGCTTCTGATTGGTTGAGTAGGTGGCGCGAGATTTTTAAACCAATCACAGAGCGTAGTAAAGCAAAACCAAAGCAATTCAGCGATTACTTTCGACACTCAATTGAAAATCGCTCTATACTAAAACATTACAGTATATGCAGCGAACCATTAATACCCTTCCCAAGAAGACTGTGAATACTGAATCGCTTCAAACATTTTCCTGAGATTGGCTAGCCGAAGGTATATTTTGAATTAGAAAAAAATGGATTCTATCGAAAATTTAGTTGTATTACCGTATTTCTACGATGAAAGCGTCCACCCTAGAATAAACGTCCCGGGCCATAGAATCATGAACTGATTTAAAATATAAACCCACCCTGCTCCGTAAAAAGCAGTTAGTCAGACAGGTTGCCCTTACAATCCTGAAAATTCGCCAGTACCCATTTACTCCTGGGTGAAGAGAGGCATTGTGAGAGTAAAGTGTCTTGCCCAACAATGACTACGGTCAAGGCTCGATGACTTAATAGTAATTGTAACATATTCATATCTTGATCTCGATGTAAGCTAACTACTCACTAACCTGCGATGGACTAGCATTCCATCCAGGGGGATGGATTCCTAGTTGCGCTTCATGCTATAGAAACCGGAGTTAACCGTTGGCCTGATAATCCACTATTAAGCCAATATTTGGGTATGTTTTCATTTTAGAATGTCAATGAAACTGTCTTGAGCATTATCAAAATGGTTCCACTACAGACGGTGTGTACCTCGTTTACCCTGACAACCAAGAACCATTCAAGTGCTGTGTGATATGACAACTGACGGCGGTGGTTGGACAACTTTTCAAAGGCGTATGGACGGATATGTGGACTTCTTTGTCGACTGGGACATCGTACAAAAAAGGTTTTGGAAATCTGAACGGCGAGTTCTGGCTCGGAAACGATAACCTTCATCGTTTGACCGCGTCTGCTAACATGGTGCTTCGTGTTGATCTGGAGGATTACGAAGGTAACCGAAGATATGCCGAGTACACGACATTCTTCGTGGCCGACGAGAGCGATAATTATCGGCTGACTATTGATGGGTACAGTGGCACGGCAGGGGACTCACTGGTAGATGTTCGTTTAACCGTCAAGTATGTATAAACAAGCATTTCGAATTTCTTTGTTTTATATTTAAAAATTCACAATATATAATCAAATGAATGGAAGGAAAAGATTAGGTAGTGATAACGGCTTCTAAGCGATTACCCATAAGTCTTCGCGATGTTCAGAAATAAAATTTTATGCGTATCACAGAATCCCACCAAAATGTGGAATAGCATAGCCGTTTGCTAACATGAGAAGTCCCCTTTCTCTTAAAGCGGTTTCCAATTGAGTGTCGTAAAACTAAAACCAAATCAATTACAATGACCAATCACAAAAAACGCAAACAACACAATGAACCAACGAGAGCTCGAAGCAAATACAAGTAACCGGCGCCAAGCGCGGGAAAACGCGTGCGACCAAGTCGCGTTTGGTTTTGGTTTTGTATCTGATTGGTTGAATAGGTGGCGCGAGTTTTTTTTTAAGCCAATCACTGAGCGTAGTAAAGTAAAACCAAAGCAAATCCGTGATTACTTTCGACACTCAATTGAAACCAATCTAGAATGCAATACATAGATTTACTGTACGTAATTTTTTGTCTTCTTAGAAATATGATGTTCACCACCAAGATAGAGACAACGACGTAGATGCTAATAGAAACTGTGCATCGCGTTACAACGGAGGTTGGTGGTATCACAGTTGCCACCACGCCAATCCCAATGGTCTGTATCAAGGAGTAGCAAATGGAGAGGGTGTCACGTGGTCGACATTCAAAGGCCAAGAATACTCTTTGAAACACACGGAGATCAAAGTTCGACCCAAGTGACACTTTGCAAAAGTAGCTAGTGTAATATTGTAGCGAACATTCAAAAGCAAAGCTGTCTTAAGTGATTGTCATTGTAATATACAATTTGCTGTGTAAAAATCGCGCTGTGATTGGTTTAGGGCAGTCCGTTATTAGATAACACACGCACAAATGACGTCACGAATGGCGGGAAAACGCGGGCGAGCCCTGCTCCAGAACGAAACTTTGCCAAACACCGTCACAAAACAGCGAAATATTTTCATCAAACTGCTGATAGTCCGTAGGAAAATCAATGTAGATCGATTAATATGAATTTAAAATCGTCTGTTCAAGCTTGGCTAAAACTTTGAAGCAAACATGCAGATGGACGTTTTAACCAATTGTGAAAAGAAATACGAGAAATTATAGAGCGGAATTCTATCCGAGATGAATACAGGTAATCACGTGGTCTTGAACGCAGTTTGGAATAAATACCGGTAAGCACGATTAATTTTTTAACTGCGGGGCACACTGCTATAAAGGGGCTTGGCTCCTCCTACGGTGGAAGCTTGGAACTTCTTCTAAACTATTATATTAACCTGTAGAGATAGAAAATAAAATTCCCGTCTTCAACAACAACAACAACAACAACAACAACAAAGTGATCCCGGTGAAGTGTTCTGCGGTGTCCCCCCCTCCCGGTAGACCACGACCACTCTTGAAAACATTTACCAAACATTTTCCTTCATGTAACAGTACGTAGTTAGAGCTGTTTTATTATAGAATTGGACTCAGAGAGCCCACAAGAATCGAGTTGCTCGGTGTTGGTTTGTAGGGGAAGGAAATCGATAGTGTAGCAGCTCTCGTAACTTCAGAGTACTAATTTCATTGGCTGTCTGTGTGTAGCTAAGCTCTTTTGTTTCGAGGAATATGAACATTTTTGATATTCTATGCCCTATCGATCGTTCATTCAACCAACAGTGTTTTTTTACGATACCTGCTACATTGTCCATGCAAGGCCGCAATATGGCAAAATACTGAAAAGTCGAGACCATTTAAATATTTAAATTTACCACAATTTGCTTGTATGTTTGGCCTATAGGGGCTTAAGATAACAACATAACAATATTTTAACTCTTGCTTCCGCCTCGATTAGTTTTGTAACTAGTAGCGGGAGCAAGCACTCTTGTAAATTATATAATATAAAAATTGAATAAAGTTGTTGTTTGTTGTTGTTGTTATACAAAGTGTTATAAGTGTGGAGTTTATTTTCTGGTAGTAAGGCATCACAGCATATAATTATTAGATATACAGCTTTTATTAATAATTTTACGAACAAAAATGGCAGTTTTACTTTAAATAGACTATATTATGCAATTATAAAATTCAAAGAAGGGTATAACATGGATTCGACGTTTCTTTCTATCACAGCAAAGAAGATATTGCGCAGACACTTGCATATTGTTCAGAGTTTGTTTTGTTTGGTTTTTATGAGTCACTCCAACTCATAATGCCATAGTTTAAAGATGATTTCCAGTCCGTACTGCGCAATCTCCGCTGCAATATTTACATGAGTCCCATACGAACGAATGTAAATACTAGCCAAAATAAAAATTCCGGGACAAACTTACCTTTTTCTTCATTATTAACGCTATATATCCTTGCAAAACAATAATAACGAGTTGAAGAACCTCGGCGTTATCCCAAACCGACGTTTCAGCTCATCGAACATTCCTATTGCACAACGACTCGTAATGGCGGACTCAAAAACTTCACTATCATCAAAGTGCAACATATCAACGAATTCAAAACAAAAACGAAAACAAGCCCTGAGCATGCGCAATACGGACTGTAAATCATCTTTAAGTATGGAAATAAAAGTAATAAAAGAATGCATGGATATAAATACGTCCTTCCTCATCAGTCGGTGTCGACGTGTTTACACTCATAATATCGCGAATAATTATGCTTTGAAATAACCCTTTTCTACATTTGTTCCTTTAATTTTTACTTTTAACATTTTCAGGCCTTCTTTTCAACTACTTAAGTTGAAAGGTAACTGCAAATTTCTCAATCTTATTCGTTCTTTCCACCGCAGTTCACATACATGGCGGATTATTTAATATATCATCTTCGCCATTTTATCACTAGACGGGTAAAAATAGAACTCGCAATTGACCAGCTCCCAGTGGCTTTATAGCTCAGTGGGAGAGCGTTTTCATCGGAATCGCAAAGGTCATGGGTTCGAATCCCGTTTTAGCCTTCTTTTAAAGTGCTTAAGTTGAAATATAACAGCGAAGTTCTCATTGTCTTTCTAACCCTTTTCTGTTAGACATTTTATTGTAGTAATCACTGTTAATTAACCCTTTCACTTCCAAGAGTGCTAAGTTCGAAAACTGAGGAAAAACTTTTCAATTTAATTTTGCAAAATTGTCATTAACAGACAGCACCATTTGAAAGTTAAATACTGCTCATATAATACCTTTCATTTGAATGGTCACACACTAGGGTTTCATCCACAGACTTATTGACTCTGGTAGTGAATGGGTTAATTAAGCCTCACCATTACCATTATTAAGATAGGATAATTTTTTCCCACCTTTGTTTTATTTCTTACATTTTTTGCCACATTTCTTCTATCAGCATTGATTATATGTAATTATTATTATAAAAGGTCGGAACAATTGATTGGATCGTTATGGCTGAACGCAAGTATTATCGAAATACGTTACATGTATGTTTAAGTAACGTTATTAAAGTGAAGAAAAGTGTAAATTATTAATATTTAGGATCTTTAGCGAGAAGAGAAAAGTTTTAAATAATTGAGAGGATAATTTAAGACGCCCCATAGGCGGAATAATTATACTTGACTATTTGTCTTAGTTTACTTCACGTGTAAATCAGTACTAATGAAAATATGTATTCGTGGTTGCTTCTAACGTTTTCACTTACAGAATTCGTACATGGTTCGCTAAATTAAATCGTTTTTCAGAGCCTGACTTCGAAGCTGTTAATTTTGCAAAGGCGATAAAAGGCCGAAAACTCAACGGGAACGTCATCGATGGGAAAGACTTTAAAGTCACATCTGAAATATCTTGTCAGATTGAATGCGTCGAAGAAACTCGATGTTTGTCGTACAACTTTCTTCACATCCCAGGAAAAGAGACGGCTACTTGCCAGCTAAGTGACTCTGATCGTTTTGTTGGTCATGATAATTTTACAAAGGAAGCCGGAGTGTTATACAGAGGAATACAGGTAATTTTGATAAGAGAACATTTTGTGATACAATTAATAATGAAAATTATACAGGTAATTGTAACCCTTATATTTCTTATGAATTTAAACTTTGTAGTTATCTGAAAACTATTGCATTTATGGAATTTTGTTGCATACTATTGATTCGCAAAGTGATATGAGAGTATTTTTGTAATCAAAAGTTGCTTAGTTTTTAAACAAATTTCTCGTCGAATTCAAACCACTAATACTTACGCGATAACAAATGTTTCCTCGTTTTCAAGCAAGTATAGAAGTAAATATATATAACACGAGAGACAGTGTTTCATCCGATTTTCCAGACACCGAGATCGCAGAAGAGAGTTAAAAAAAAACGACGCGTTGCGGACTATTTTTTTAAAATGAAATTTGAGGTGTTTGGAGATGCGATGAAACGCTGTCTCTAATTTTTCGGATATATCTTCTCAAATCGATACTAAAACTGAGGAGTAAACTGAAAAATAAATGGAAAAAATCTACGCTAGTTCAGATCAGGTATCAAAACCTCCGGCACAGTTTTAATGAGTCTGAGAACTGAAGAAAATTCCAAGATGGGTTGAATGAAGGTACGGCAAGCTTTATCCAACTTGATGAGCGCATTCTATTGATTCAAAATTATGTGTATGACTCTATACTAATAGAAGCACAGAAAGTGTAGTTTGTATGGGTTATTTTCTCAAATAAATTGAAATAATGTTCGAGTGTTTTTCGTGAACGTTTTGGAGAACACTATAAACACTCTAAAACAAAACATTTCTTGTTCTTCTTTAAGTGTGTGTTTTTCGTGAACGTTTTGGAGAACACTCCAAACACTCTAAAACAAAGCATTTCTTGTTCTTCTTTAATTCGAAGATTGTTCTCTATTTCATAATTAAACTGAATAGAGGCAAAATGGTTTAATTAATTAAACATTTGATAAAAACAACAACTGTGAACACAGATAAAAAAATTCACAAGACAGAAGAAGAGCTAATAACCAGTAATAACATAATATTGTAAATTGTTTGAACCCAGGAGTATCAGTAGTTTGTCTTGTGTGATCGTCCGGGTGAGTGTAGTCCTGAAAAGGACTGTTGCTGATGACTGACGTTTCGACAACCTGTGCGAAAGTCATCTTCAGAGTCAAGTGAAATGTGTTAGTCAGTCGATGTTGTTATGTATCTGGTCCTCGTAACTGATTGGTCAGTTTATTCGTGATGTAATTGGCTGTAAAGTCTCCTAGATGTGTGCAAATAGCAGTTTTTTATTAAAACGTTAATTACCACTTTTAGTAAGCGTTAATTTGCTTCTATTGAATAACCCCATCTCATACGTCTCCTAATTGACTATATTTTGTAAGTAATATATCTAACACTTGAGACAGTGTTTCAACACATTTCTAAACATCTCGAATTTCCCTAAAAATACTCCGCTGCGCGTCGTATTTTCAACTCTCTTCTCGGTGTTGGAAATGCGATGAAACACTGTCTCAAGTGTTTGATATATTACTGACAAAATATAGGCCATCAGGAGATACATTAGATTGGGTTGGGTTATACAATATAAACAGACACTTTAGCAACATTGGTAAATTAACTTCTTAGTTAAAACTGCCTATTTACACGCATCAAGGAATATTGCATTTTCAGTTCTTCGAGTTGCTAGCTTCGTCCGGAAAATGTCGTTTGAAGACATACCATAGAAAGAGAAAGAGATATGTGTGTGTATGTCGGAGTTTGAAAATTAAAAGAATAAAAGCAAAAAAATATTGTTTAATACCTTTGCTGTTATTTATTTTTTGCTCAGAGTACATGCGAAGAAGATAATCCATGCAAAGATAACGAAGTATGCATTGCTGATCATAAAGCGCCAGGCTCTCACGTCTGCAAGTGCGTCAGAGGTAGGTGAAATGTCGCACCCAGGGTCCTCGCTGGCGTTCAATTCCAAGATGGTGACTTCTCTCCTGCAGTCTCCACCATCTTTGAATTTGAACAGCAAAGAAGACCAGTGAAATCTTACGAAAGTACTTTTTCTGCTTTCTTGCGATTTTCACTCCCAAAAATGAACTTAAACCGGATGCCAACCAATAAACAGAACCAAACAACAACAATAACAACAACAACAGCAACAACAACAACAACAACAAAATCCCTACAATCCAATCTAGAAAAATTCATTCATACTATAGTAGGATCTCGATCACTCTCTGGAACATTCATGATCAGGGAAAAGGAAAGCGTGACTTCGAGATAACCCGCATAAATTTACTGTATAAGGCGAACAGATTGTGGTTCGAGAAAGCGAGTAGTTCGAGGTACCTAACTTCGAGATCTAGACAGGACTCTGTTACAACTACATGTATTATTAAGTAATGTCCAGTATATATATCATTTAGGATATCCCAGACACTGTCTTGATCATTACCAAAATGGTTCCACCACAGACGGTGTGTACTTAATTTACCTTGACAACCAAGAACAAATAGAACTGACGATGACTTAATAGATAGATCTCGATGTAAGCTAGTAACTACTCGCTAACCTGCGATGGACTAGGATTCCATCCAGGGGATGGAATCCTAGTCACGCTTCATGCTATAGAAACCGGAGTTAACCGTTGGCCTGATAATCCACTATTAAGCCAATATTTGGGTATGTTTTCATTTAAGAATGTCCTAAAAACTGTCTTGAACATTATCAAAATGGTTCCACCACAGACGGTGTGTACCTGGTTTACCCTGACAACCAAGAACCCATTCAAGTGCTGTGTGACATGACAACTGACGGCGGTGGTTGGACAACTTTTCAAAGGCGTATGGACGGATATGTGGATTTCTTTGTCGACTGGGCATCGTACAAAAAAGGTTTTGGAAATCTGAACGGCGAGTTCTGGCTCGGAAACGATAACCTTCATCGTTTGACCTTAAATGCTAGCATGGTGCTTCGTGTTGATCTGGAGAATTACGGCGGTGACCGACGATATGCCGAGTACACGACGTTCTCCGTGGCCGACGAGAGCGATAACTATCGGCTGGTGATCGCGGGATACCGAGGCACGGCGGGAGACTCGATGGAAACTACAAATCAGGCAGCTAAGTATGCGATAAGCATTTATTTGTGTGAATGGATCGGAATTCAAACAGACGTAATGTAATATTAGCGAGTTGTTGGACAACCAGAAATGAAACCAAAAAATTCCGTAAAACGTAAACGTAATAACGTATAAGCTTAACTCCCTCTCTCCACTCTCAATACCTTAAAAAATAATAGCGGCTTTTCAGTATAGTATTTTGCATTCTTTAGTGTTTTTGTAATTACACAATGATTGAGGACCATTGAGATGCGAGTACCGACAACTGTTGGAAGGCTATTCTAGAATATTCTTGAATAATATCATATTTCGACTCTTTAGTGGAATGTCTAGTAGAATACAATCAAGAGACAGTGTGTTTCATTCGATTTCCAAACGCTGAGAAGAGCTAGTTAAAAATACTACAGATAGCGCAGTATTTTTGACGAAATTCGAGGCATTTGGGAATCGGATGAAACACTGTCTCGGGTGGAAAGAAATGATGGTATATATATATATTTTTTTTCTCGGGTGTTTGATATATTTTCTCAATCGAAATTAAACAAAAACTAAGGAGTAAACAGAAAAATAAAATAGTAAAAATCTATGCTCATTATAGACCAAACTTCTGTCACTGTTATGGTTTACTTTGTTATAACTTGATGAATTATTAACGATTTGAGAAATTAACAGAGTACTAAAGTCATGACGTCACAAAAATTAAATTTGCGAAATTATGAAATTTGATCAGCTATTCAGAGAAAGCATGCCACAAAACGTCCACTTGCCAAAAATTAGCTCTCCATTGCAATTTCTCAGCCGCAAATTGTAATGGAGAGCTAATTTTTGGCAAGTGGACGTTTTTTGGCATGCTTCTTCTGAAAAGCTGATCAAATTTTATAATTTCGCAAATTTGAAAATTTGTGACGTCACACTTTACCA